GTAAATTAGCATATAGACGCTGAATTTAGGTCGCAGCCGCTGATTTTTTCGGCGTTCAATTTTTATTGACGCGAGAACGCAGCGTCTAGACGCAGACGCAGACGCAGGAACAGCGTCAATGAAACGAACAAAAATTTTTTAAAACATTGCCGCAGACGCAGCCGCAGGTAGCTGCGTCAACGAAACGAACAGCACTAATCTGTTATGGAAAGAAACGAACTTTCCAAAAAAAAAAAGTGAGATAACCGAACTAAACCGAACCGAACCAAGTAAAACAAAAAAGCTATCGATCATCGGACAGAAACATGACAGAGTCCACACATGTGTGTCATCGTTAAAAACAACATCGTGTTTAGAGAAGAAGGAATCTTCTGATTTTATTTCAGAAAGATTCTGAGATCTCTCTCTCTCTCTCACACGCCTACCTACGTACACTTTTTTTTCTGAAGATCATCAAAATGGAGAGCGACTCAGTGATGGTTCCGTTTCCTCTGTTACCGATGCCGATAGAATCAAACTACAGAGCGTGCACCATTCCGTATCGATTCCCTTCTGATAACCCCAGGAAGGCTACTCCCACTGAGATCTCTTGGATCGATCTCTTCTTCAACTCCATCCCTTCCTTCAAGTTCCATCTCAACCTCTCTCTCTCTCTCTTTTGTCTTTCAGCCTTTATATTTTTCTGAAAGTCAGATTCTTTGCTAGGAGGCTATGTTGGTTGTTTTGTTGTTGATGGGTCTTGTCAAAGCTTTGATCTTTTGTCCAAAGATCGATACTTTATCCGTTAATTTGATCTGGATGATCCACGTTTTGATTGGTTCAAAGCTTATGTTGTGTTGTTTATACAAGTCTATAGGAAACAATATAATTCATGATCTTAATGGATATGAAAAACATAAGCTTTCAGGGTTTTAACTAAAGCTGCTTCCTTTTTTTTGGTGCAGGGAGCGTGCAGAGAGCGATACATCTGTTCCAGATGCTCCTGTTCGAGCTGAAAAGTTTGCACAAAGGTATACTTTTTTTTGTGTGTGTTTTATGGCGTTTGCTTTGAATGTTATTTAGTTTTAGAAGGATTCTTTGATTTATGTGCTGTAAAGAGGTGTTCTGTTTTAGTCAAAAGCATTGATTTTTTGCGTTTGATTTTATTTGGTTGGAACTTGTAAGGTATGCTGAGATTCTTGAGGACTTGAAGAAAGATCCGGAGAGCCATGGTGGACCACCAGATTGCATTGTATGTTTACAAACTAAATTTGCTTGTATCGAGCTTTGTTTGTTAATGGATAATTAGTTTTTGGTGTTTTTTATTCTATTTTGCAGCTTCTATGTAGAATCCGTGAGCTCATACTCAGAGAATTGGGATTTAGAGACATTTTCAAGAAAGTTAAGGTGTGATTTCCTTTTGACAAAATGGCTTTATCCGACTAGCATTTTATCTATTGACTGATTCATGATAAAACTCAATAGGATGAGGAGAATGCCAAGGCTATAACACTGTTTCCTGAAGTTGTCCGTCTGAGTGATGCTATTGAAGATGAAGGAAAGCGCCTAGAGAGTCTGGTAAGAGGCATCTTCGCTGGCAACATCTTTGATCTCGGTTCTGCACAGGTATATATCATCTCTTTCCTTTCATGCTCTGTTACTTCCATCACCTGCCTTTTGTTGACTATGTTGATCAATGAATCTTATCACATAATTGAAGCTTGCCGAGGTATTCTCAAAGGATGGAATGTCATTCTTGGCTAGCTGTCAAAACTTGGTTCCACGGCCATGGGTCATTGATGACTTGGACAACTTTCAAGCTAGATGGGTCAAGAAGCCCTGGAAGAAGGTCGCTGTTTTTCTTCTTCTTCTTTACCTTATGTTTTATCTTTATTTAAAAGAGGTTGATCACAGGACTAACTGATTTGTTTTTACTTTTCTTGTTTTTCATTACAGGCTGTGATATTCGTCGATAACTCTGGTGCAGACATAATTTTGGGTATTTTACCGTTTGCTAGAGAAATGCTCCGTCAAGGAATGCAGGTGGTGCTGGCTGCTAATGAGCTTCCATCTATCAATGACGTCACTTACACCGAGCTTGCAGAGATCTTGTCAAAGGTGCTATATGGAGTATTGTTATTTACTATTGTCCATTGCAGATTAACGAAAACTGAACCTTGACTGAGTCTTAATTTTACCAGCTTAAGGATGAAAATGGACAACTGATGGGTGTTGATATCTCCAATCTTCTGATTGCAAATTCAGGGAATGACTTACCAGTATGATATTCCAAAACACTCATAAGAAAGATGGACCTCCAACATTGCCAATTCTTATATATTGATCTGGCTTTTCTCCCTTTGGATTATCGTTGCAGGTTATTGATCTTGCAAGAGTATCACAGGAGGTTGCCTACCTTTCAACCGATGCAGACTTGGTCATCTTAGAAGGCATGGTAAGACCTATAAGTCCCTTCGCTATGAAATATCATTTATGTTAGTCTTGGCTTTCAAGTTTCAGTAAACTGACTCCTTTATTGTTCTGAACCAGGGACGTGGAATAGAGACAAACCTGTATGCTCAGTTCAAGTGTGATTCCCTCAAGATTGGAATGGTAATTAACTTTATAGATTCATACTTATTGGTTTCTTGATTCTTTCTCATTTATGTGGTCTATTTGTTTGTTATGCAGGTGAAGCATCCAGAGGTAGCACAGTTTCTCGGAGGACGGCTTTATGACTGCGTCATCAAATACAATGAAGTTCAGCAGAGCTGATTGTATTTCACAACCTTCATTTTTTTTACTGAATCAAGCCAAACAGTTTATTATATTAAACACTGTCAGGCTTTGTAAGTTTTAGTTTAAACTCCCTACTCTCTCTGCACTCATGCATAAGAAATGAAAACTCTTTCGACATTCTTGATATGGTATTTGAAGCTGAAAGAGCATTTTGGAGAACTTTCAGTCAAGAGAAGTATGACAATATTATTTTAAAATCTCAAATTCATCAAATACAATATGATGTGCTTTAAACAGGTAGAATAGAAATGCATTGAAAGAAAAGAAAAACGAAGGATGCAGTAGCAGAAGATAGATATATGTCTCTTAGTTGGTCTTGGTAGGATATGAAGCCATCTTGTTGATTCCACACATTCCCTCTGGTTTGCCGGTGTTTCTCTTCATCCTAATAAACCCTTTCTCTCCCCATCTTGGTCCCCATGAGTTCTTAACAATAACATAGTCAGATCCTTTTGATGAGCCGTACCCGACTGCAGCTACACCATGGTCTAGGTCTGTTCCGCACTTCCCATTAAACACTCCCTGTAAGCAAACACACAGTTAAGCAAAAATTGGATACACAGAGCACAAAGTTTAGATATGAGAATGATCTTTTTATATACCCCTTTGTAGAACTGGAAGTCTCTTCCTGAAGCATCAATAGCCACACTGACTGGCTGGTGAGCTAAAGCCTTCACCAGGCTTTCATCACTGTTTTCTGGGACATCTTCGTAGCCACTGATTGTCACAACTTCTACATCCTCCTGTATAAGATTCACGAGTGACCAGTGTTTATAAAAGATGCATCACAGCGTAAGTTTTGAATTTATGTTTGTGTCTAGTGTTTGTTACCTTCTGCTCTTGGCAAATTCCTTCCTCCATGAGATAGGGGTAATCATCTTCTTTGTGGAGACCACCTGTGGAAATGATGTACTGGAATGCGTAGTCCATGAGACCTCCATTGCAACCACTGTTGTAAGTTGTGTCACAGTCTATGAGTTCTTGCTCTGAAAGCGAACTCAGGTTCCCTGTTGTGATCTGGTGGATCCCCTCAACAGCTGCAACTGTCGAAAACGCCCAACAACTACCTGCAATGACAAAAACAAGATTGTTTTCAAGGGATCCCTTCCAACTTCTGGTTCTGTCTACTTATGAACAAGCAAAATAAAAGAGAGAAATGTTACCACATGAACCCTGGTTCTTGACAGGAGTCACCGCACCTTTCTTCCTCCAGTCTACGGATTTTGGCAAGTCTGTGACATCTCTGTACCTGAAGTTAGCAGAGGGCTGTCTCTTTCTAGAGAATTGCGGCTTTGCAAGTCCAAGATACTTCTTCTTGAACTCCTCATGCGTCAAATCTGCAAACTCGTTCAACCCGAGCCAGTAAGTGCTGATCTCGTTGTTCCTCTGGTCTATATGCATCAGGTTATCCCTGAACACCTCGAACCTGTGCACCTTCTCCTCAACGCTTTGGTAAGCCTTGCTGTGTTCTGATATCCATGACTCAAAGAGCTCCAGAAGGTTATCAGTGGATGACAACTGCTCAGGTGTGTATCCAATGATGGAGAAATCACGGGCAAGAGCAGAGTAGAGGAGTGCTGATGCTGAAATGGCGAGGAAAAGAGAGAATTTGGCAAGTGATGGTGCAGAGAAAGCCATTATAGCTAAAGCTGTTTCACTGAGAGAAGAAGAGGGAGAAGAAGAGATGATGTTAATGAGAGTAGAGGCAGAGGGTTTATATACAAGTGGGAGAGACGACAAAGTCTCAGAGTATTGGCTTTGAAGCAAAGACAAAGATTAATTTAAAAAACCAAGGACACCGGTCTCCAAGTCTTCACGGTTGGATCTCTTCTTAGTTTTGCCTTTTGCTCTAAGCATGCAATTTTCAACACAATAGCTTCACTTTCAGACAAGTTGATCAATATTAAAATATATCCTATAGATGGAAGCTCTATAGAGGCGAAAGAGCTTAAAGTTTCTATTATTAGATTCCCACAAGAAGTACAAAGTCACAACTGTTCAAAAGCTTTAACTCTGTATTAGAATAGTGACGGATCTTTCTTCTACTATCGTAGCTTCCCGGCGGAATGCAAATATACGGAAACAGAGACGACCCTGCAAAGCGTTAACATAGCAAATGCATCAGGTCTTATGTCCATAAATGTTGACTACTTTTGATATAAAAGCTTAGATGATTTGTATTGGCAGAGGAAAATGTGGCTGACTTACGTTGAACCCAAAAAGAAGGCAAGGGAAAGATGAAAGTTGAAGAGGAATACAGACACAACCGCGGTGAGAAGCATTGCCACTGATGTGGAATAAACCTACATACAGATTGAGAAAGTTTAACCGTGAGTACAAAAGTGAATACTTAAGGGAATCTGATGGCGAATGAAAATTTACTACCTTGACAATGTTGTCTGCATATTTCATCACCATTGACACAGCGATGCCACTGCGAAATAAACAGGAGAATGATGGTTTTAATGTGTTAACTTCACTAACTGAAACTAGAGATGAGAGAAGAGTCTGGCCTCTAAAGTAGCTTTTACCTGAGGGCATGGTTAAGAATCATGAGTACTGTGATAAATGAGTAACCATGGAAGAATCCCCTGAAAATGGAAAACCAGCCCATTCAATTCTAGAGCAGAAAATAAGGAACTCTCTTCACTAAGACTAGACATAAGTGGCATCTTCTTTAATTGTATATGAAGAGTGAGGAAATTGGTTACTGGCTATGGACACAAGTGTGTGCATGTAGGAAAGTAAATCTCAATGCAAGCAACCACATGTACTGGACACAAATAAGAAGATGGGTTTTGGATTTACTTATTTGCAACGGCATCGAAATCTTGGATCACTATAGCAACAGCATTGAAAGCCATTCCAAAGACATATAGCCAGAAGTTCTGTACATTTATATTCCTTGAAGGTCTCTTTTTTATAATAGCCTGCCAAAATGAAAAGCCAAAAACCTTATAAGCTTTATAAATCCAAGTTATTTAATGGACTGACCAAATTATACAGTTTCAAACAACAGAGTGAATCAGTACTATACACACCTCTGTGTACACACCCGCGAAACCACTTAAAAGAGCCATAACCTAGAAACAAGGACAAACAATCATATCAATAGGTGTCGACGTGGAAGAAGCTTCACAACTCTCTTAGTAGGTATTAGCATGCTAAGCTAGGTAACAACTTACAATTGCCATCATCCAGCCAGGAAGCGATGTCTGAAGTACACGATCAGAACTGCAAAAGCATATAATATAAGACTTCCCAATGCAAGAAATCAGTAGAGACTAGGCATACATCATATGAAAGAATCAATGAAGCCCGTGTTGATAGCAGTCGATAAAATCAAAGGAGAAACGTGTCAAGAGCCAAAGTTTACTTTGAATTCAACTGAGCAGTGGTGCAGCCACAACACAATAAGATGAATCCTGCCCACTGAATCTCGCTCAACCTGTTAGAGAAGCTAGTAAGCAAACTGAATAAACCGAGCCTCTTCACATTTGAAATCAACAAGTTTTGGCTGGAAGCTATGAAACCCATTTGGATGAGTAAACAACCTACTTTCTCTTCAATATAATTCTGTACAAGACGCCAGTACTTATGATGTTCAGGTTCTTCAATATCTGATAGCCTGGGGCGTCAACATACGCAAAAATATAGTACTGCCACATAAACAGTCACACCACTAGTAGTTAGAAACTGATTTAACATGGAAAACAGATGCTACGATCATTGGCCTAAGCCAAAAAAAGTTCAGAAAAGCCAACCTGTAAGAGATTCTTGAAAAGATACAGAGCTGCAGGAATGGGAAAGACTTTAACTTCGTCATATGTTGTGCTTAACCTGATTCATAGACAGTATCTTAAGGCCAAATTCTCAACTTAAAAGGAAACTAATTGAACATGATGCTAGTGGCAAACACTTAAAAATACGTTTACCTATTGTCGTCAGTAACACCTTCGTTTCTCCAAATCCTTGTCAATGCAAGAAGAGATAACGCACATTTCAGAGTCTCAACCTGATGTCCAAAGATTTAAACATCAACACTATATATTACAACCTGATTACAAAATTTTGATTTTCAGAAAATGAGAAAATAGGCAAAATTGCTAACTTTCTAACACACAATGGTACCACTTGATATTTGAAGAATAATTTGATTTTGACTGACCAAAAAGTTGGCGGTGGTAACACTGTACTCATACTTGCCAGCTCGCTTGGACCAAACGATAAGTATAGATTGGGAACTCGTGAGAATAGTCAGTGCACATGTTACTAAACCCCTGCGTCAACACTACAAACTTTAACCCCAAAAATAAAAGTACTTTTCGTAGCTTTACACAAAGAAAATCAAACAAAAGAACATACTTTCGTTTCCAGTTAGTGCGTTCGTTCGATCCAACACCCAGAGTAGCCAGAGCAATGTTACTCGACGCAACTACCGAATCAAAGAACCAATGAGCATAATAAGAGAATACAGAAAAGAGATAACTGGAAAGTGAGAAAGAAACTAACCGGTATGAGATTTTCCCTTCAAACTCTCAATATCAGAAGCTACTTCATGTTCGTCCTGAAGCTCATTACAAACATTGAGCATTAAAAGAGAAAGACTTAACCGATTAAAGAGACAACAGAGTAAAAAGCAACGAACCTCATCTTTGATTTTTCGGTACTCCATTGCTCAAAGCTCTCTCAGACAGATCTCTCTGTGATCATGTTCCGCCCCAAAAGAAAAAGAAAAAAATCGGCTAGTTTAACATAGGCTCTGTTTGTTGTTGTGTTATTGGGCTTTGTATATTATTGGGCCTATTTTGTCAAACATGAATAGATTTTTGCCATATTTCCTGAATAAAACAAATAAAGACAACAAAAGACTTGTCTTAACATGAGTCAGAATCACACAAATAAGCAAATGATTTTCAGTAAAACAACCTTAAATTTAAAGTTAACTACGCATTTGAGCTACGCAACCTAGAACTGATGTAGGTGGTATAACTATAATTTTATATTCACAAAGATTTTCACTTCATACAAATCAGTGGGAATATTTCCTAGTACAGTAGAATATCTATAAATTAATACTCGATAAATTATTATACACTATATATTTCTATAAAATAATATAATTTTATAGTCATAAATTGAATTTTTGGTTCGATTAGTGTATCAATAAATTAATATCTCTCTAAATTAATAAAAAAAAAAAAATTTGTATAGCCCAAACATTATTAATTTATACAGGTTTAACTGTATATAGAGAAGTATTCATATAATAACTACACAAATTTAATAATAATACTTTTTAATTATTAAAAAAAAATGCATGTTATTGGCATAAAAGTAAAATGGATCCCACACAGAAGCAAAAGAAAAAAAGAGAGGGAATAAAAACACAGGCTGTGTTAGAGCTGTGATCACTACTTCCCACCACCACTTAAATCTCTTTCTCCAAAACTTTCATTTCTTCATCTCTCTACAGAAATCAAAAAAAAGCAATGAGCTCAATGATGGAAACTCTCCAGATTCGCAAACCCACTTCTCTCCCCGTTTCTCAACAACGCCTTACTCCCTCCTCTAAAGATGATGAGCATGGTGTTATACGCCGTCGTCTCTCTTCTCTCTCACTCAATCTCCTAAACCAACCATCAGAGATCGCATCTCGCTTCCCCAAGTCCAAATCCGTTTCAGATATGGGAAAGCAAGTAGGAAGCTCTGTTAAAGAATGGTGGGAATGGGGCTGGTCGTGGATCCTCTCTAGGAAACCTATTTTCATCAGAGATCTCGAGCTTAACAGAGAGGAAGCTAAAACTATTGGTTCTCAGAACAGAGGAAGTATAATGCACGTCTTCTTCAAGGTCCGTTCTCAGATCCGAAGTCTCATGGGCTCTTCTTCCGACACTCTTCCCAAATACAAGCGTCAAAAATGATGAATATTGTCAAATTTCAGACGTACGGTTGAGAGATATTGTGATTTGTCTCTAAAGAAAATATGTATTGGTTTCCTTTTTCGGGCATGAACAGTTGGAGTATAATCAAATCATATACACAAATGTTTTTGAAAAGAATGCGATGTTTATTTTGTTGCTATAGTTAATTTCATTATTTGTTAATTTGATTTGTTTTTTTACATGTTGTGCAGTATGTGTATTTAATAACCTTGCGATATAGAAATCTGTTATTCTGTTATAAAACGCGCCAAATTCTTTGGCCACCGTCATCACAAGTGGTTGCAATTGAAAACATATTCATTTACGTTTACAACTTACAAAGTAAAACTAAGATCTGAAAACATAGCAAACCGCCGAGGATTCATGACCGACACCATTCTTTTACTAGTGAAATAGATGAGTTATGTTCTTTTCAGATAAATAAATAAAACAATAATCTATATTATAATGATACACTTTCAAGACTCCTTAAGGTGTCCACATAGGCAGATTGTGGGTCCCACATTTTTATATTAAAATAGATAGTTGTTTTAAAATGGCTACAAACAAAGAATATCAGTTTAGCCAAGTGGTCTAAGACCCCATGTTTGGTCTCTGAGGACATGGGTTCAATTCCCACTGCTCTCATGCATA